TGGGACAGCAGCACCACTGAGGAGAGCGCGGTGGGCAGTGACGGCATCCTCAATCTGGGATAGAATGCGACGCTCCTCCGAGTCAGAATCAGCCAGCGGGAGTGCTGACAGATCCTGAAGGAACTCGGAAAGCATGTCTGGCTGAAAGGCATGGCGAGGTGGGAGGCGGTCACCAAGCAAAGCAGTGCGCGCAAGGCGGTAGAAGTTCCAGACCTTGTCTAGAAGCAGGACCTGGCCTGAGCCAAAGACACTGGTGAGGTGACGGACAAAAGTCCCCTGGATGCGGCTGATGCTCTGAGGGCCAGGAAACGCAAGCCAGGAACGGATGGTGGAGTGAAGGACAGCCATAACGCAGGTCTCCAAAACCTCAGAGGAAGGCTCCAGGTCATCATCTGAGAAGTTGAAGGTACGAGCAGCAGTGGAGGGAACACGGAGGTCATAGGACAAGGGGTCCAGCTGCACCACACCACAATGGCAGTGTGCCTTCTTAACATCCTGCACAAGGCGGTAAAGCCAGGGTGCGCTCTGTTTATCCACTGAATATATAGTCAGAATGATGCCTGCTGAGGTAGCGCAAACACACTCACCTTCATCACGGAGAATGGCCATGCACATAGCAGGGAACTGCACATCCAGCCAAGTCCAGGCAGATCCAACAGCGGCCATGATCTGAGAGCGCATAAGGAGGAGGTTGAGTTGATGGTTGTTGGACTTGTGCTCCTGCACAGTGATCGCATCCCAGAAACTAGGGAAGGCAGAGACAAAGGCAGGGGAGAATATTGAGGACTTATCCAGGCCCTCCAAGATCATATAGATCTGCTTGTGCGGTGTGCCCGAGTAGCGCTGGATAAGCGCGCGATCAGCCTCAAGCTTCTTGACCTCAACTTGGAGCTTAGAGAGCAGCTTCTGAAGATGCGGCTGTGAGAAGGTTGCAAGCACCTTCTCATAGGCTGGGCAAGTGTCAGAATGTGCAGTAACCAGCATAGTATAAAATCCACTCACGCTTGGCTGAAGGCTCAGCATTTACTGCATGCCCATCCTCCGAGGGAGATATGCCATGAGGCCCTGCATACTTGTATTAGGCACGTGTCAGACCTAAAAGTGTATGAACATACCTGGATGGTCACCCCTAGCATAAGCAGCACTGTCCTTCCAGATCTCAGGGAGTGCGTCCTCAGAAATCTGGATGACAGCACGCTTCACTGCAGGGACACGCTCAGAAGGAGGACGGAAGTCTCCATCTGAGGTGTCTTCATCTTCAGAACCAAGGTTCTCACCATCTAAGAGCATGTCATTGACACCAGAACAGATACAAGACCAAAACTATGCCTTCGTACCAGAGCCCTTTCCAGCACGGGGTCGCAAAACCATCTGGGAAGTAGACGCCTCCCCTCCCTGCTCAGGCTCCTTGCCTGTACGCTGCTTCCCGTTCCCCTTCTTGCGAGAAGAGACCCTGATGCCTGTAGCACCAAGATGAAGTCTGCGGACAGACTGGATATGGCCCTTCTGACCAGCAGCCTGCAAGTCTAAGGCAGCACAAGTCAGCAAGCAATGATGCGCATAGGACAGTCCATTTACCTGCATAAGACTTGGACTCTGCAGGAAGGGGTCAAAAAATGCGCCCAAGGTAGATGAACATCATGCTTACGGAGTTTGGCCTTCTTTGCAGCACGCGTCATTGGACGCATAACCCACTCCTCTTCACGAGGATGCTTCCCACCTGATTCCAAGTTAGCAATGGGCACATATTCATCAAATATGCGCAACTCACCTGGTTTATCCCCAGTGGTAGCAGGGACTGACTCATCGCCCTCCTCCTCCGCCATGATCAAGCCCTTAGTGGACTCGAGCTCAGGGAAGAAAGGTTTGAGGCGAGCCTGCGCATCTGCCCATGCAGCAGTGACCCCGGCACGGGTGCACCCAAGGCTGGACATCTCTGTCGACCCCGGGCCCAGCTCCCACGGGTTCAAGTGGCGCTCCTCTCTGGTAACTGGATCCTTGTACGTGAATGCACGAAGGAACTGGTTAACATCAAAGCGAGCACCAAGTGAAGGTGGAAGCTGACGAGTCAGGCCAGCAGCAAGGTTAGCCAAGCTACGCCCATGGTAGTCCATGACCGCCTCCTCATCCATGATAGCCAAGGCATCAGCAGTCATGGATGTAGGAGTGCCCTTGATGACCAACTCGTCGTACCTGCAAAGTGGTCAGAATGATCAGGACAGAGACAGAATAACACTCACTTTGGATCAATGAACTCCTTACAGATGTTCAAGGGACCCTCAGGTGTATACCCCAGGGTCACCTTACCAGTTACATCGAACAGGGAGCTAGGAGGGTAAGAGACGATCACCATCCGGTAAGAATGGGGGTGCGGCTTCTCTCCCTCCTTAGCGGTGGGTGGGAAACCTCCATGCACATGCCGTCCAGAGAACAGAAGAGATGCTAGCCCGCCCAAGCGAACACACACTCCGAACGTCATGATGATAAGGACCCCAGGGTCTTCATCACCATGAAGGTCACTGTGGCATAGGAGGTGCGTCCACCCGTTCAATGCATCGTGGTAATCGATGTGTTTGCCAGCAAAGGCACCCATATTCTGGGTAAAGGTTTGCACTGCAGAGCATGTCAGATTGGTGAATATGCGCACAGACTACCACTCACCTGCAGTGTCAGCCTCTGCGGCAGGTGACAGGTTGAGCTGCATGGCAGGGAAGAAGTAGTTGTTTGCATGGCCCACACGGGGCACATTGCATGCCTCCGCACGCTGACGCAGAAGCTTGGCTTCATGTGGAAGAGAGAGCTCCATAGCTTCCACAGCGATGGCAGCGTTGGCCTATAAAGGTGTCAGCAAAGGGAGTATACAGCTTGGGTATAGAAGACATTACCTGTATGGCATGCTTTCGCACAGTCTGATGCTCACTAAGCACTCCAAGCGGCATCCGAGTGGACGCCATGGGGGCAGTCTGCTGCTTCGGAGCCTGATGGGAAGTGGTGAGGGAGGAGCAGCGGTCAGCGTTCCTCAGAGACTTGGCCTCAGGGCTCCGCTCCCAGGCTACACCACCCTTCACAGCGGTGCGCTCCTCGACAGGGCCAAGGATGTCATCACGGACAGAGCGGATGTCATCACGAAGCTCTTGTGAGAAGAGCTCCCTGCTGGAGTTTAGTCAAGACAGACATAAGCGCAGCAAATTCACTCACGGAGGGGTGAGAACCGCATGAACATGATCATCCTCTTCCATGCCGCTGCCCTGAATGTCTCGAACGATGAGACAGTCACCGGGAGCCATGACCAGAAGCCCTGTATACCATTCAGATAATGATGTCATATACAAGGCATAGGAACACTCACCTGCTTTCTCAATCCCGTCTGGTGTACCTTCCGGGATTGGGGCAACATCAAGGAAATTCTTCAGAGCCTTACGAGTCTCCGGTGCTGAGTAGACAAGACCGAAGTAGATTTTCCCTTGATACATGCCGAAGTTTGGAGCCAGCGGGTGGTCAGGAATGGTCCAGAGGTCGGGCCAATGCTTTGAGCGCCCGCTGGGTAGCGAGACCGGAACACCGCCTACAGGGGTGTAAAAGTAAGGAGAGGCGCCGAAGCATCGAGAGGAAGGCTTACCCGGGACCGGGCAAACCGGAGGTGGAGGATTTTGGGCCATAGAATGCCAAAAATAAAAGCTGGAATTACTGAAATCCTTGAATAAACGTGAGAGAATGAGCAGAAGAAGACGGACCGGAAGGGTGGGAGCTGGAAGGCGGGACTGCCAGAGATGGTGGTGGTTGAATTCCAGGAGACGACCGGACGCGCGTTCAGCTAAGGCCGTTGGGCGCTAGTAGATCGCGCTGGCCCAGCGCAATCTACTAGCGCCCAACGGCCTTAGCAGAATCCGTGTCGTCCTGCCTTCTCCTCCACCACTCACCCTTGTACCACACGCCCACCGCCCGCCGCTCTCGCTTTGCCATCAATAGGAGAAAACTCGAAGGCTTGCAGGACAGTTTCGTGGTCACAAAATTGAGCAGCATTAAGTGGTTTATTACTTTTATAAACTACATATACTGACCAGCGCTGGGCGAGCACCTCTGTGTGCCCGCCCAGACAGCCGTCCATCCTTTCTCTCTGCACCTCCATCACCCCCACCCCCCACCCACCCCCTACGACGAGACGAGCACCCGTGCGTGCTCGTCTCGTCGCGTCCGACCTCTCTCGTCCGCCAACGCCGCCACGCTCGCCCACGACCCCCAACCACCACGAGTCGAGCACCCAAGCGTGCTCGGCTCGTCGCCCGCCTCTCTCCGCCGCCTCTCTCTGCCGCCGCTACACCCCATACCCCCTCTGCGACGAGACGAGCACCCGTGCGTGCTCGTCTCGCCGCGCCCGACCCCGCTCCTGCCCGCCAACGCGGCCGCTTGCGCCCACGACCCGCAACCGCGACGAGTCGAGCACCCAAGCGTGCTCGACTCGTCGCCCACCACTCTCTGCCTCGCCCGCCGCCCTCGACCACCACCCGCAACCGCGACGGGACGAGCACGGCCGTGTGCTCGTCTCGCCGCGCCCGGCTTGTCTCCGGCCCGCCAACGCCGCCGCCGAAACGCCCAACAGCGACGAGTCGAGCACACGGCCATGCTCGGCTCGTCGCCCACCTCTCTCCGCTACCAACACCTCCCACACCCCCTCTGCGACGAGACGAGCACCCGTGCGTGCTCGTCTCGCCGCGTCCGACCTCTCCCTCTCCCTCGCACGCCATGCCGCCGCCTGCCTCCCATGACCGCCCCGCCCTCGCCCACGACCCGCAACCGCGACGAGTCGAGCACGCGAACGTGCTCGGCTCGTCGCCCACCTCTCCCCGCCGCCTCTCCCGCCGCCGCCGCCGCCGCCACCTCCCCACCTTCCCCTGCGACGAGATGAGCACCCGAGTGTGCTCATCTCGCCGTGCTCGACCACTCTCCCGCCCGCCAATGCGGCCGCGCACGACCCACAACCACCGCCGCCGCCATTCCCCTCGCGAACGCCCCACAAGCGCCGCCGCCGCCTCTTCTCCGCACCCTCCCTCTGCGACGAGATGAGCACCCGAGTGTGCTCGTCTCGCCGCGTCCGACATCTCTGGCACGCCCCACCGCCGCCGCTGTTGCCCACGCCCGTCAAGTGCGACGAGCCGAGCATCCGAGCATGCTCGGCTCGTCGCTCGTCTCACCGCGCCGCCACCTCTGCGGCTGCGCCCGGCCCTCTCTCCCCCGCCAACGCGGCCAAACGCGTTCTACGGCGCCGAACATCGACGAGTCGAGCACGTTCGCGTGCTCGGCTCGTCGCCCGCCACTCCCCGCCGCCTCTCCCAACCACCGCCGCCTCCCTCTTTCCCCGCGTCCTCTCTCCCCGCTGTGCTCTCTGCCCGCCGCCTGTCCTGGCATCCAGTTATCATGTACATGATGTGTATTAGCAGTCTTGAGCAAAAGAATGCCTTCTGAACAACCATGGTCATGTTTACAATAAGAACATATATATATTTTTATGACAACAACCTCTCCCTGGCATGTAGAAGGGGTGTGGGATATGTTCAAGGGCATAGGGGAGGTTGAATGACACAGAAATGTACGTCACAGCTTTGAATGGGATGAAAACTAACGTTTATTGCTTGTGACAGGACTTACGATCTCAGTCAGGCTCAGAGCTGCCCGCGCCGACAAAGAAAATGGCATAGCGCCAGAACGCCGCAACGCGTGAGTAGCACCGTTCGATTCGTATTCTCATTGTGAGTCTAACGCACCCCCATGCGTACCGTCCGGTGCAGGTTGAAAGTTCACGACTGGCAGACCCTGAGCCGCCCGCGCCGACAAAGAAAATGGCATAGCGCCAGAACGCCGCTGTGCCACAACGCGTGAGTACTACCGTTCGATTCGTATTCGCATTGCGAGT